TTACAAAAACATATTGATCACACTTCCATCTAACAGACAAAGTTTCACCTAACATTTACCTACTTAAAAGCAAAATGTATGTCAGACATGCCAAAATGCATTCTCATCTATATGAAAACTATGTGTTATTGACTCCTTGACACACACCCCCCCCCACATGGCATTATAGAGAAAAGTGCTCAGTAAGGCTCAGTCCAGTTGTTTAGCTATTAAAAATACATCACTGTCTTTGTTTTGGACTTTAGCCACTGTCTGTTTTAAAGAAGTCTTAAAAATCTTAAAACCTTAAAAAATTACAACATTTCAAAGGCTGGATCTCAATCTTCAGGTAAAAAGGAGGAGAGACCTATTCTGTTGGAGAGACTAGCTTTGTCAATTTTTAGGCATTTTTGAAAAGCAGAGGATGGATAAGCCCACAAAGAACATAATATAAGATCATTATCGAAGACATTCAAAGAAGGAAACATTATACTTATTTTCTGCATACATTTCCACTTCACCATCAGTCAACAACTTCAAAATCATTTTCATTTCTTCTGTTAACTACTCAATGACTGTATTTAAATACATGGAACCCAATGCTGTACCATGCTCTTTTATGTTCTTCAAACACTAAAAATACTGTTCTAGTTGCAAAGTATATGACAAAAACAATCACTGATCATATGTGGTACAAAGGATCGTGGCTGGCTGTTGAACGTTTATTTCTAGGTTATCCGAGGTCCTTACTTAGCAAGTTCTACTTTGAACAGCAAATACATACAGCACAGTCTTTGGAGCTTATATACAAAATTTTAACTGGAAAATATTAAAGGAAGAAGCCAAGTGGGGAAACCTAAGATTAGACAGAAGGTAACATGGTAATGAACATTTAGATTCCATAAATGGTGGGAAATTTCTTGACTAGCTGACTGACTGTTAGCTTTCCAAAGAAACTCCATGAGTTAGACAGTTCATTCACACAATCTACAACATTATATATATCATTAGCTAGTGTGAATTCCTTCATGTAGACAGTATGAGACAGCTTACAAAAGTAAATTATGTTAAAACTCACTCAACAGTACATTACAGGCATATCAACCTTCCACATTACATCTAACCTCCTTCCAGCTTATTATAAATTTTGTGTGTAATAAATTTTGGTTATTCAAACATTAATGCCTTCCAATTTTATTTCATAAGCATTTAAATGTTTTTTTAAAATCTTTATTTACAATATTTTCTCACTGATGAAATATTAATGCCTTCTCATTTCATGAACAACATGATTTTATAAAAAGTCCAACACTTTCAAACAGCATTTTGTTTTGTCCTTCCAAAAATGTAAATATAAATAGCTGAATAAAATTTAATCAGGCAATTCACATTTGTGTATGATCCTTCACAAACAGCACATTATACTTATATTTATATAAACACTGAACTCATCAAAGTTACCCTACACACATTTTTGTATATAACAAAAAACATCTCTCCTGAGATCTTTTGTCAATTTACATTAAAAAAGTAGGGTTCACAATCTATGCAGCACCTTTGAAGTGATACAATAAATTCATTAGAGATACTTCATAAATTGTATACCTTTCACAACCCCCATGAATATAATAGTTTGTTGCTCTGGTTTTCCCTATTATAATCATTATTTGTTTTAGGTTCAATCAGACATTGTAGGTACCTCAGGTCTTGAAGGAATATAAGTGACAGAAAACTTCCAGTGTATCACTTTCACTGAAGAGAGTGAAACAGTTCTCACAGCCCCTGAAAAGTAAAGCATATTTCAGAAATTGTGCAGTGGTAGGTCTAGTACTTAACTGCATGACCAAGATTAATATCTGTAAAAAATGCACTTACCCATACAGTGCACTAGATGTCAGACGTTACTTCTTCGCCATTATGTTTATTCCTTAATAGTGTGATTTTCTTGTTTACTTCTGGTATGGATATATATTTACTTTTCATTAAGCAGTGTCATTTAACCTTCACTTCACTTGAAGAATTATCATGAACATTCACGTAGGATTTGAGGTTTTAACAATGGTGGTGGTGCAACAAGAGCTGTCACTATGACAGATTTGCTATTGCACTCTTCTTCTGCAGGTGCAAATATGTCTTAAGTATAGTCAATTTCACTTTCTACACTAGCAGAACCACTTTCAACACTGCCATTGTCACTACTATCAGCTGACAAAGCAGTAATTTCATCATTAGTAAAAGAACAATAAAGTCACAAAGGCCCAGACATTACACTTCCCCTTCAAAACTAAATTGCCCTGATGACAGAGGCAGTATGACCTGTGAAACGTTGGTTAACATCGACCAGACTACACAGTGCAACAACCCAGAAGACAGAAATCTTAGATTGTAGATTTTTGGTCTGAAATTTAAATCCTTGTGTTGGCATTTAAATGGCACACAGTGGCCATATAACCCTTTGAAGCTGAAGTAGAATATTTAAAAGTTTGGTTCTTACCTCAAAGAAATCGCAATGAGTCTCTGTTACAAACACCAATTGGTTTACGGTCTTTAGAAAAATAATCGGTTTACTTGAGAATCACACATAACTCACAAATATACTGTTGGCAAAATGCATAGTTAATAATTGTTACTGCTTTTTAAAAAAATAAATTTGCAGTGTAACACTGCTGCAGTAAAATTTTTTTAAATATAATTCTTCTCAAAAACTACTGACTGTAGAACAATGAAGTGGTATTTTCTTTCTTATGTTTTGAGGAATCACTTTAGTCAATATATACTAAAACAATGCTTACCAACTAAAGACTGAAGTAACATACACTATTCTTTCTCCTACAATTTAGCTATTTTTACCTAAATCATTTTAAAACCTCTCACTTCAGTATTTCACTTCATAAATTTTAAATTTACATGAAGACTTACTTTGATAATATTTTTTCTAAGTGTGGTACCACTCAAAACATTCAGGAAAATGCAAGGTAACAAGGTACTGTTTGGATTCCCATGTAGTTTCACTCCATTTTTTACGTCTTACACACAACTTGCATTCTCTTGTAGGGTACTTCTTTTCTGTGGGTGGGATATGTCTGGGGAAGTGTGCTCATGTCTTGGCTTGTAGTTAAAGTGAAATGTCTGTGTGTGTGTGTGTGGGGGGGGGGGGGGGGGGTACGGGGGGGG